GGAGTCCAATAGCCCAGTTCTGCAACTATCAATCATTTTCAAAACAACCCCTCCATTATTAATCAGTTCTTTTAATCCTAAAATTAATATCAAATTAATTTCTGATTAATCACCAACTAATAATTGAGGGGTTTTATACAAACAATCATATGTGTGCATGCAACCCTAAAGTTGGATCTATGTTTTCACTATTAGTTATACAACTTTATGAACACAGAAAGAAACCTGACATGCTAGTAATATTTTCGAAATCCACAAATAAGAATAGAATACATACCTTTTGTTGTTATATAGTAATAACAACTAGTTCCTTGAATCTCCTTAGCTTTGAAAGCAAGTAACACAAGTGTAGTATCTCTAATGACTCACAAACACCAAGAGCAAGAGGATGACTTAGGAAAGGAGGAGAAGCACCCAAAATGTCTAGAACCCATAAGGAAACTCTAGGCCACGTTTTTGGTGCTCTAGGTATCCTTAAATAGTGAGGCTATTAGGGTTATCAAACAAGGAAACCCTAATTTGACTACTTAGGCCCTAAGCAGCCCATGGATTCCCTTAACATATCCCTCGGACAATTTCTAATGGGCTTCCCCATAGAATTCGTCAAACCTATATATTATTAGGTAATCCATAGCCCAATTGCAATTATCTTATAATTACAAATCCAGTCCCCTAAGTTTAATTAATCTCTTTTAGCCACAAAATTAATTCTTAATTAATTATTGACTAATATTAATTAAACAATATGATTTCTGTTTTAATATATTATTCATATAATAAATTAATAAATCATAATTAATCTTCTTTCTCCATAAATCATCCTATCAAGTTGCTTTGATGAAGGCAACCCAAAAGGACCATGCACAATCGGGTCAAGTACATACCAAAATAGTTATGGACTTAGACACTAATCCAACAATAATATGATTTCCAAATAATATATTAATCTTATAATATATTAATAAAATTATTTGAGTACCAATTTATTATTTCAAATAATAAATCATACCCTCTCTCCACTAATCATTCAATCAAGTTGCATGAGTGAAGGTAACCAAAAAGGACCACGCGACATATCAAATCAAGTACATACCAATTATAGTTATGGGCTCAGACACCAAATCCAACAGTATCGAGGCAGATCCTTGGGTTGAGGAGGGTATGTTTTAGTTCGCTCTTCTTTTCTTCCTCTTCCCACTACGGCCCTTCCTTCTATCCTTGCCTTTCAACACTTTCAGCCTCTTGCCTCAGGAAATGATTGACTTTTCGTATCATTTCTACTGCGCTGGCCCATTCTCGCCCTACCAACTTTCGAAATAACTCCCCATCTATGACCTTGTAAGTGAACGCCGCTATGATCATAGGGTCATCCTGGGTTGGCATCTTTCTATTGATCTCATTAATCCTTTTAAAGTATGCTTCATTCGGTTCTCCTTCACGCCATCGACATGCAAATATCATGTATGCTTGTTCCCGCGAAATACATTCTCCATAATTTTGGATTCATTGGTATCATTTTTATTGCCCACTATAAATTGGATACATAGTCGTCCGGATCTTCGGTGCCATCATAAGGTGGTACCCTCGGTCCTTTCAACCCTCTGGGGATAGGCGTCTCATTAATGTCGTATGTAAAAGGAGAGCAAAAATTTTGATTCTTGAAAGCTTGGTTGTATTGTTTTGCTTCTGTTACCTCACGTAGCTTTTCTTGCTTATTATGATTGTCTTCTGCATTGGGTAGCTGATCTGCATTTTTCTCATTCTTGTTCGATCTCTTTTCGTGTCACACAGCCGAACCAGACGGTGGAAACGTCCGGGGGTTGGGTGACTCCATCTTGTAATATTATCACAGTGTATATAAATGAATCAAAGACAACATCATCATCGTACATAAAATATAACAACCATCATTCGTTTACATCAAGTATTGTATCACATGTTACATCCCAAAATATTAAGTGTAAGATGGAAATAAAAGAAAATACAACAAAAGTCCACATGTTCTTGATGACCGACCTGCTTAACGAGTTCCTGAGAATACAAGTTATTTTAAAAACGTCAACATATATAATGTTGGTGAGTTCATAAGCATGTTTGTAATAAAAGTTTTGTATCATTTGTAAACACCAAAAAATCCGATATTTTCCGTAAAAATGGTTTGAAAGTTTCGTCTCAAATCTTATATTATAGCATGTGTGTTCATATTTTGAAAATGTATAAAGGGAGAGTTCCAGAAAATCCTATATTTTCTATTGTAAGTAAGGTGTAATGTATAATGTATTTCTACAGAAAATATGATATTTTCTGCTTGTAAAAGTGTTGTAGTCTTAAAACCCTAAGACCGAAAAATGGTGTTTGTATGGTTTCGTATCAGCATTAAAGTATATGTATTCCGTAAATTTTTACAGTGTTTGTTAATCTTTATGTGAGTCGTTATAACCATGTTTGATATGACTGATCTGTTTGTCATGACGTTTTCCAGGCGTCAACTTGCTTAAGGTAAGACATTTATCACCCTAGACCGACCTAGTCTAGTTGTAGCGAACAACTCAGGTGCGGGGTTGTCAACCCCATATAGATCTATACACAAACTCTCGCTCTCCCTCCAGGAGACTCTGGTTATAATTACAGGACTTAAGGTTATACACTAGGTAGGTACGAATAAAAGAACGTCTCACAAGAACCTTAACTAAATTTACGCGAACAATGTATCACATTGTTTACCGTTTTTGGAATAATGTTTCCAGTATATATTTGATTACAAAACATTGGTGATGAACATACCATTTGTTTTTATCCAAGTGTAAAGTATTGTTTATTATTGGCCCAAATTAACATAAAATGTGTCGTGAGGCCCAATAATAAAATCAATGAGTCTATAAGGCTCAAATAACATGTAATGAGAACACAATGCCCAATAAGCATGTAAATAGATATTTAAGGTCCAATAAACATGAAATGAATATACGAGGCCCATCAAACGTGTAAATTGGTCAATACGGCCAAATAAACATGTAATAAGTATACAAGACTCAATTAAAGTGAAAATGACGTAATTAGCTCGTTTGTTATTAAAATGCTTGCTTTGGCTCAATTACTACCAAGGTGACATAAAAAGTTCCATTTTTTTTAGAAATGACCTTTTTGCCCCAAATAATCAAGATATTTAAATAAAAGCCCAATTTTGTCAAATTTTAATTATTTGGCCCACTAAAATCGAAATCTACAATAAAGACCCATTCTTCATTTAAAATGACATTTAAGCCCACTGAAACGGAAAATTTAAATTCAAGGACCCATTTTGAATAAAATGACATTTTTAACCTACTATTGTTAGAAATAACATTTTCGGCCCAAATATACTGATAATTTACATTTTCGACCCAAATAAATTTGAAGTGACATTTGAAGTCCATAAAGACCAGAAATTACATTATAGGCCCATGAAACCATGAATTTCTAAATAAAGCCCCCTTTTTATGAAAATGTCCATTTTAGCCCATTAAAACCCGTGAAGGCCCAAAATAAGCCCAATTCGTCAAAAATAACACTTTTGACCCCTACAACACCGTGATTGTCTTAAAAACCCATTTTTAACCAATAAAATGACTCTTTTGGTCCTTTCAAAGCTAGGAGTTTTCACAATAAGGCTTCCTCTTTGTTTATTTGTCGAAAATGGCCCTTTTTGTATTATTTTTTTTTGTTTTTATAGTAGGTTTTGCATGTTTAATCTTTTTAACATGATACAAAGTTACTTCTAAGAGTTTGTATACAAATATTACCAATATTTGGAAGATATTTTGAATTTGTGAAGGTTTAGCAAGCGTTTTATGACATATTCACAACATATAAAATGAAATACACACATACATGCATAAATACTTAAATCTAACACAAAGGAAACTTGTATCATCCCCCAAAAACATAGTAAACCCAAAAAAAAGGTATGAACTCACCTTGGGAGATGGGTTTGGTTTTGAAGAAGAAAAGGAGGTGTTTTTCGGCGTAGCAAGTTCCTTTGGGAGGATCCTCGAAAATAAGATGATTCTAGGAGCATAAACACGAGAATGGTGATGTTTTGAGGGAAAATCTTAGCATGAGATGGATTTATTCAACTTAAGTGTGAAGTAGCTTACCGAGTATGTGAGTTTGAAGGACCTTCTTGAGCACACAGTAACTCACAATTTGTTGGAGAAAAAGTGAGAGACTTCTTGAGAGTTTAGAGAGGATTTTTGGAAGTGGAATGAAGTTTGGATTGGAGAGGGGAGGCCAAGAATAAGAAGAGAGGAAGAGAGGAATGATTAGGTTTGGTTAATACATGGTGGTTTAAATGGTCTTCATCCTAGATTTTTGGGAAACTTTGCATGGATTACCATTAAATAGTAGTGATCTGTCAAGCCTTAAGTTAATCACACACACACACACACACATATATATATATATATATATATAAATCATTAAAAACCGAGAATGAAGAGATGAAGGAAAAAAAGAAAAAATATATACACATTGGGCTTACATTGGATAACACCTGAAAATGTATGGCCTAATAAGGAAATTTTAGGCCCAGTAGGCCCACATATGTGTTTACGGCCCAAAATGACAAAAAGAATGGGTTTTCGGCCTAATGAGATTAAATAAATGATTTTTGGCCCAGTAAGGCCCATGAAGTGTCTTATGGCCCAAAATACTATTGCTTAATAAATAAGGGTCCAATTAGGGCACAAATAAGGGTTTTTGGCCCAAAAGGACCAAGTTAATGGGCTACTGGCTCATTAGGCCCAATAAGAGAATTTCTAGTCCAATAAGAGGTTTGAATCGGGAAGTTAACGTTTCAATCTCAAGGTTGGGTGAATGCAACGTAATGAATTAGGTTGAGAGCTTGCACAAATGAGTTCTGATTTGAATTGTTGTTTTTGAATGAATAACATGTATAACCTCACACTTAGGGTTACAAGATATGTCAAAGGTTAAATACACATGGATAGAACTTCCTAGCCTTAAAATACTAGTTGTGACATTTCGCGAGGGTCTGACTCCTTTCTTTCTTCGTCAGAGTCCTCCGTTCGATCTATGTGGACCAAAACTCGATCCCATTCTTTGTCTTTCTTGAGTTGTCTTTCATTTTGCAATTTCCTCATAGCACTGAAGCTTCTGAATGCTTCAAATTCTTCTAACTCCACTTCTTCTATTGTCTTGCCTTGCAAGCTTGTTCCCTCATTACTGACAAGCCTTCCGACGACTTCATTCTGGTGTCTCACCGTTGCTTCTGGGCCTTCTAGGTTTTGCATTCTCGCAACGGGACTCGCTCCAACTGTTGGGTGCTTGCGTCGACTGTTTGTTGTGGAGTCCCACGAATGACGCCACTTGATGTGCCCTCAGGTCCATCTTCCATCTATCACACAGGAGTTGGTTCTATCCGGACTAGTAGATTGATCTGAAGACAACAAACAAATCGTACGTGGGTCGGCCGGGATGGGATCCCGAACGACTCTCCAACGGTTAAGTTAGTGAAAGGATCTGTGATCGATAGTTATAAGACATAATTAAGAACGATTTTATGTGCTTACCTTCTTAACAAGTCGTGTTGCCTATTTATAGTGGCATGGGAAGAAGTAGCAAGTTCTTCCCATATCGACTCTGACATGCTATCCTATCGCATTTATGGCATTATGCCCGAAGGTATGACTATTGGTATTGTACATGTCGTTGCACAACTATGTTGTGGTAGTTCCAAGATCTACGAGCTGTGTATCCTCGTACAGACTGTATTCTTAGAGTTTCGAGGTACTGTTGCTTCTGTTTCGAGGTACTGTTGCTTCTGTTTTGACGTCATCTTGTACCTTCTCGTTGTTCTTTCTCTTCCTTTCAAGTTGTCACGCCAACTTGGTATGCAGACAAGCAACTTCAAGTCAATTGGGACAAGTAACTTCAAGCAACTTTCCAACATGTTAGTTCGGTATGTTTGGAAAGGATATAGGCGTTCCCGGTCTATATCCTATTAGATTGCAAATGAATAAAAAGTTGAATTTTAACTGAAAATTATTATTTCTTAAGACATTGAAATATTCTTAATTATATAGTTTAAATCTTTTAGAAAGAAAGATCTATCTTCATAAAAACCAATCATGCATAGCAATGTTATATTATCTATATTTATGGATATAATATTCAAAAGAATTGGTTTTACCATACAAAAAATATTAGACTTGTTGCTCGTTTGCTTTCTCATTCATTCTACGTTGATAATTGTGATTAAACATTTCAAATTTCAAACTACGATTAAATCATGATTTTTTTTTTCTTTTTCAGATGACTAAACTAAACAAAACCCAACTAATAATTTTGTCATATTTAAAGTTTTGTGTATGGTTTTTTAAAAAATAAAATCCTAATAGTTAAATAAAAAACGTTCTTATCGTTGATAGTTAAACGAAAAAAAGAAATTTACACTAAAATGATTTTTATGGAATTTGGCGTTAATTAACTTTATGAATCATATTTTTGTAAGCATTTACGAATGATTCGAAAATAAAATAATTTTTCTTCACACATCTCATAGATTATTAGCAATGTAGCATCTCATAATTCATAGATATACAATCTTTAACCACAATAGCTGAAACCATTTTTGGAAACAAAGAGCCTGGGTTTAAGTTGATGCCTTATAAAGAAACCTCAAAAACCATTTGTGGAAACAAAGAACTTAAGTTGAACCTCAATCTATGTGAATGTTTTTCTTTTATAATTTTCACCACTAATGAGATTCTTAAAATCTTCATCCCTAATCCATTTCCATAGAGTTTTTCCCAAATTCTCACTCACCAAACCTTCTCAAATCCATAGCCATGGCCAAACCAGGTCAAGACCCAATGAAGTGCTTAAAGAGTGTCTAAAGGCCAACGCTACATCTAAAGCCATACTTTTCCTTCGTGATTTGATCAGAAAAAGCATCTCATCCATTGATAGCTACTCTCTATTGTACATCATCAAGGTCTGCACACGAAAGTCTTCACCATACGAAGCCCGACAATTTCATACCCTTGTCGTGAAACTCAGTTACAATTCCATCATCTTCGTACAGACATCACTGATCAATTACTACTCCGCAGTCGCTAATCTTGCGGATGCACGCCAGGTGTTCGACAAAATACCCACAAAGAATCTTGTTTGTTGGACAGCGTTGATTTCCGCCTATGTTGACAACCAAAAACCAAACACTGCTCTCACACTGTTCAGGAAGATGCAGATGGACAACTTTGAGCCTGATGAAGTCACCCTCGTGGTTGCTCTCTCTGCATGTGCTGATCTTGGTGCATTAGACATTGGTAAATGGATTCATAACTTCATCCTTAGAAGCAAAAATCTCAACAAAGACTTACCTTTATACAATGCACTCTTGAACATGTACACCAAATGTGGAGACATCAAAAGTGCTAAGACGTTATTTAACACCATCAAAAACAAAAATGTCACAACCTGGACTTCCATGATTACAGGACACGCAATCCATGGTGAAGCCAAAGAATCCATTGCCCTTTTCAAAGCCATGACAGATTCCAAAATCTTGCCTAATGATGTGACCTTCATTGGGGTTCTAATGGCGTGTAGTCATGTAGCCATGGTGGATGAAGGAAAGCACTATTTCAAGATTATGAGTGAGGAATATGAATTAAAACCTAAAGCTTCCCATTTTGGTTGTATGGTTGATCTTTTATGTAGAGCAGGATGCTTGCAAGAAGCTAAAGATTTCATTTTGGAGATGCCTGAGAGAGTGAGACCGAATGCGGTGATGTGGCGGACTTTGCTTGGTGCGTGTAGTGTTCATGGGGATGTTGATCTTGGTGAAGAGGTGAGGTGGCGATTGGGTGAGTTTGAGGAGAATTGGGGTGGTGATGATGTTTTAATGGGGAATATGTACGCTTCAAGAGGGATATGGGAGAAGAAGGAGATGAGTAGGAATTGTGTTGATAAGAGAGTTCCAGGGTGTAGTTTGATTGAGGTGGGGAGTGAAATTTATGAGTTTGTATCTGCAGATTCTGATCATCCATTTAGTTGCAAGATTTATGAGGTTATTCAGAGTTTGTTTGGGAATATGAGAGCTTCTTATGGATGCAGTTTTGATCTTTGAAGGGGTGTAAATATATGACAATGTAGTTTTTATTTCTTTGTTTATTATACTACTCTACTTTTACGAAGGTATTATACTTTTGAGAATTCTACCCAATTATTTATTATATTTTAGGGCCCTATATTTTGTGCCATTTTGAAAAGATAAATTTCCAACAATACTGTATTATTATCCATTACAATGAAACAAAACTTATTTACGCTTCTATATCAAGACAATGCTACAAAGGCACCTTCTGTCTGTTTATGAATGGGCCCTATTTGTACATCCTTCAGCAAATGATGAATGTTACAACACCAAGATCCAACACAATGTTTGCCATGGAATTCCTCATCTCTGCAGATGCAAAGAAACACTTATGTTTAACTTATTTAAATAAATCATGTCATAATTAAGTCTATTAAGTGAAGAAGCTTCTTACAGAGATAACGAGTGCGGAAATCACATATGAAGTTGACAAGTTTTTTATGCAGGAACTGCTACGGGTCTTGTGCTGGTTTTGATACCTTTGATTGCTGTAGTACATATATCGGATTACATAAAGAAAAAGGGTAAGACACATGAAAAGAAAGATCTACATTTTTTGTTTAAAAGACCAAAATACCCCTATTCGTTTCCAGTTACCTGCAGCGTAATCTTTAGCTCCAAAAACAGCAGAACCAGCAACCAAAGCATTGGCCCCAGCCTCAATAACCTGCAAGTAAAAATGAAACATGTCATCAATTCATCATGTACAAAAATGGGCCTTAATGAAAGTGAAAGGGCAATGTGGTCATTAATGTGATATTACCTTGTATGCATTGAGGGGAGTAACTCCACCATCTACTTCGATCCATGGGTTCACACCCTGTTAGGCAAAACAAACAATGGCATTGTCGTAATTATGTAAAAAATAAAAGGTCTTTTAACATAATAACAAGAACACCATACCTTCTCCACACACATTCTCCTCAAGTCTGAGATCTTCTTTACTTGACTCTCAATAAAACTTTGACCACCGAATCCAGGATTTACAGACATGATCAAAACCAAATCCACCACTGTTGAATCACAACATTATACTCAATCCAACGCATGAAAATTTCATTGTTTGGCTATTAACCAAATGTCTAAAATACCCTTCACAAGAGAAACAAACAACTTACCATCAAGAACATATTCTATGGTGGATAATGGAGTCCCGGGGTTCAGAACAACTCCAGCTTTGGCTCCGAGACTCTTGATCTGAATGAAAAAGAATATTTATAAATAAATAAAAAAAAGTAATCAGTTGACAAGAAAAAAAATTGTTAAATATTACACATGGGAAATCTTACTTGATTAACTGTTCTGTGTAAATGGATAGTGGAAGATTGCTCGCAATGGACACTGACAATATCTGCTCCAGCTTTAATAAAGTCGGGAACTCGTTGCTCAGGTTCAACAATCATCTGCCATACTTCAATTTCTCATTATCATAATTCATAAAATCTCATGATCTTAGATGTAAATTAGGTACAAATTACATACTGGCCTAAAACCCTAAAAAACCCGAAACCCTTGACGATTTCTGCAAATGTTTTAGGCTACAAATAAAAGGTTCGAGAATATAGATGAGAAATACCAGATGAACGTCCAATGGGAGATCTGTCACTGGCCTCAATGCGTCCACAACAAGAGGTCCGATTGTTATATTAGGAACAAAACGTCCATCCATTACATCAACATGAATCCAATCACAACCTGCCGCATCCACGGCTTTCACCTATACACACACAGACACCATAAATCATCGTTTATATTTTATGCATAAACTTATTTGGGGGTAACAAGATCGCGATACAGGAAGAGTAATACCTGTTCTCCCAACTTAGCGAAGTTTGCTGACAGAATCGATGGAGAAACAATGATATCGCTCTTTGAAAATTTATCAACGCGAGAAGCCTTCACAACAGTGCTAATCGCTCTCCTAGATTCACAAATTTGGAAATTCAGCACACTATATTGTTGCACATAGTCATAACAAGATGGAAAAAGGGCTATCTAAGTAAACCCAAGAGCCTCCTTCGAAATCCAAGAAAAATACATGGTCAACTCTTGATAATTCGGTGAGAAAGTCCCAAAAAGTTCATCAAAATTCAAAATCAAGAAAAGGGGTTTTTACCTTGTGTAAGTGGGTTGAAAGACGGAGGGTTTTAGAAGCTTGCCGAACCCATTAATCTGTGATTGAACGAGGGTTGTGGAACTCAAAGAAGCGGTTGTCATTCTTTTTAAAATTTGGCGGCTTCAGTTGATCTTTTGATCAAACAGTTGGTGGGTTTGATTTAAAAGGTACGATCTCTATAGAATCGGCACCAATTCTTCGATTCTCAAAATCCCAAAACTTGCTATAGGAATGCTACCATGGAATGAAATGATATTGAAATAGTATATGATTGACAAGTGTCGGATAGGAAGGTGGTTGCTTATCTGCAATGGTTGGCCTTGGGCTGCGGGTATACCGAAAATGAGTTGTGAGCGTGGGACCATCACGCCAACTCGCGCCTCTTCAGTGCGGACCTCTTTAAATGATATGCAACCAGAATTTGAATTGAAGCCACGGACAAAATAATGAAATATCCCCCAAAGAATCAAACCTCGAAAAAATCGAACATTCGGAAATGGTAACGAATCAAATTTATGTTTTGGTTACCATTTTATCTAAATTTCGTTGACTCAATTCCACGATTTCATGTATAAAACATTGACATATTGACCCTAATGACCATAAAAAAAAAAAAAACCGAAAAAGAAATTAAGATGATAACAAATTTTATTTTATGTTTTGGTTACCATTTTATTTAAATTTCGTTGACTCAATTTTCACAATTTCATGTACAAAGCACTGACATATTGACCCTAATGACCATTAAAGAAAACCGAAAAAGAATTTAAGATGATAACAAATTTTATTTTATTATAAAAAGAATATCATTAAATTTAATTTTTTGTACGTATTACATATAAACAGTATTTTATTTTATATGAAACATACTTAACTAGATTGTTAATTAGAAAATGCTTCATGTATTTTTAGATTATAGCATCGTGAACGAGTAAGGAAAAATCCTAAGGACATGTTTGACAAAAGTAATTGATAGCATGTAGCTAGTAGCAATAGTTGGAAGCTGTAACTTTTATTTTTTATATGAGTGTTTGATAAAAATAACTAGAAACTTTTGAAATATGTAAAATTACATAAAATGATAATTGTTTAAAAATAAATAAATAAATATATTTTTAAGGATAATTATGAAAATTGATTTCAAATGCCCAGTAGCGTTTTGTTAAATGCTATATGAAATAGCTTTTATATTTGAAGAGTTTTGTTTAAACTAAAAGCTAAACATTCGTACCGCCAAATGAAGTTTTTTGTTTAAACTAGAGCGTTTTGTCAAAAGCTAGAAATTAGAAGCTTACAAACGTTTCTAAAAGCTCCATACCAAACATATCATTGTCTTTAATTGAAGAACGTAATTTTACCAAAACTTTCAATTTTGGGTCAAATGCCACATATTCATGAATAAAAACAATTAATTAGTGACATTTTGGAAAACCCTAATATAAGTTATAGAAAAATATAATCTAAAGTTGCAAAGAAATCAACATTAATGTTAGTGTTATACAGTGTAGAAATGCAAAGAAATATTCACAAAAATAAGAATAAATGAGTTTAAATTCACATTATGAAAAATAAAGCAGTCAAGGTGAATATATTTTAAGGTATAATTTAGGATCAATAACTCCGACAGATGTATGTATTATATGTGCTTTCAAATATATATGGTTGTCTAAAGAGTGTAAATGATGGTTGTATTGAAAGTTATAGTTGAGTTAGGGTATAAATGACTTTTTTGGAAGGGTATTTGTAGATATGAACTTCTCAGCAGTTGGAAGGGACTTTAATAATTGAACTAGGTGTACCCTTTTACTTGGGATATAGTAACAATTGAAAATAAGCAAACTTGGAAGCTCATTTTTGTTGGATTAATGTCTAAGTCCATAACTATAATTGGTAAGACTTGACCCGACCCGGCATGGTCCATTTGGGTTGCATGGCATCATGCACTTGGATAGACTATAATGAGAGAAATAAGACACTTATGGTTATTAATATATTATAAGTTCTAGTATATTAATAATAAGAATAATAAGATTATTTAATTAGTATTGATCAAGAATTAATCTAGGATTAATTAAGTGATCAAAAGAAGACTAATTAAATATATGGGTTGATTGTGTAAATCATCCATACTTATATAGTGGGCTAATGCTCCATGGATTATCTAGTTGGGCCAAAACCCATATGATGCTCCATGGATGCTCCATGGTGTATTTGAACCCATGGATCCAAGGAAATGGAAAGTCATGACAATTAGGGTTTACCCTAATTGTAACACTATATAAAGATATTATTCTTCCCAAAATCGGACTAGATTATCTAGAGAGGGCTAACCGATTTCATGAAGTGTTCTAGTTTCTCTCAAGTTATTCCAAGTGTATTTGGTGTTGTGTGAACCATTTGAGGTCACACTTGGGGCTAGCACTCAAGCTTCATGAACACAAGCAACAAAGAGGTATGTATTCTATCTTGTTATATTGATATATTTGTATGCTAGATTAGGATAATACCTTGGATGTTCATATTTGCATGTATAATAGAGAAAACATAGATCCAAGGTATTTAGGGTTGCATGTACACTTAGGAGTGTTAGAATGCTCATAACCCAACAGTGGTATCAGAGCCTAGGCTTGTTTTCTTGTTATACCTGCAATAGAAGCTGAAAAATCGAGTTTTGATGCTGTCAGCCCAGCTGACTCGCCGAGTCCATGAAGGGACTCGACGAGTCCAAGGCAAAATGCATCCAACTCGCCGAGTTGTGTTCATGCACTCGACGAGTTGGACCCCAGACAGCATATCTTCGAGGTTTTTGGCTAGAAATGGACTAGGAACATTACCCTAAGTTGTTTTGAACTTATAAACTTGTTTTTAAATGTGGTAATGTTCATGCTAATCCATTTTCAAGATAATTGTCAATAGATTCATGTTTTGTATTAGTTTAAAGGTTAGACTAATTACATGAAAAAGTTTGATTTGAATTATCTTGTTCTTATGAGTTGCTTAGATTAATAGAAAAGTTGAGTGAAAAAATTGTTTTCAATCCAAATTAATCTAAGAGTTGAGTATAAAATGTGTTTGTGTAACTTATCCTTAAGTTACATGAAGAGTCACATTAAAGACTCATAAAACTCATAAAGTTGGCAAAGGTTACAAAAAAGATGAAGAGTCTTGTCCTTAAGTTATGGAGGTTCAAGAGTCACTTCATTAATAAATAAATAAATAAAATATGTAACCTTAATTAATTCCATAAGTTATAAAATAAAGAAAAGATTAATTCTTTATTAGTTTAAAGTCTTCCATAATTTGTCCACAAGTTATGGAACTTGAAGAGTTTTTGGATTAAAACTACTTTAAATACATAAGTTATGGAATTAATTAGTTTTGAATAGTTTCAAAACTTGCCCTCAAGTTTTGGAATTTGTAAAGTTTTCTCTTATGAATACTTTAATTCCAAGTTAGCCCTTAGAATTTTAAAAGTTAAAATTCAACCCTTATACTTTATAATATTATAAGTTAATAATATTTATATGTATAAGAGTAAAGTCGGTCTTACCGCTAGTACGCCTCATTCACGAAGCCGGTCTATAAGGTGGGTATAAGGTTGTTGCCTATAAAATGGCAACTTAATGGGTGTTCACTCTCACCCACCGCTTGCTTGACTGGTGGAGGGTCGTTAGCCGAACGGGTTTGACATGACTATAATTCTCCCTTCATTAAAAGTATTAATGATAAATACTAAGTAACTAAACTCTTAATAATACCCAATCTTAGTTACTTAGGAAAATGTGAATAAGGTGCTAATCCATGAAATTACACTTTGCACTTTGTTTAAGTCGGTTAGTGGAGCGTGTGTGGTTAACCGGCACACTAACTCGTATTTAACAAGGTAGGCAAAGGGTAACTTAATGTTTATCATAGTATCGATGGAGCGTGTGTGGTTAACCGGCACATCGATTGAGGGTAAACACTTAAGGGTACCAAGTAATTTGCATGGTTACTTCACACCTTGTTTTGTGATCCTCGGCATCCCAGTCACAAAACCTGAAGGGCACACTCGAGATTGAAACATGCCATTGAACAGTTCAATGAATCTCAAAAGATCTAGGAGTTTCAAAACCAATTAAAACCTAATAATACATTTCGTTTATCTTGGTGGAAATTGGTGAATCGTCATTCACCTACCTTCAAATTTTTTATAGCTTGGATTACGGCATACCTCTTCTAAGTTATAAAATAGTTTGTTGGGTCCTAGCCTTAATATTTCATATTGGGTGTCATATTAAGGACTCAAAGATCAACTATCTTGAATATCTCCCATAACATGTCTGGATTAGACATTTATGATCTTCCCAAATCTCTTGAAACAAGCTTTCCTAAATGAAGATGATGTCCCATGGATATCATACTTCTTTCTCCTCCTCCAATTATTCTCCCTAACCCACAAGTTCTTGAAAAGTTTAAGTCACTCAAGCCCTATTGGCAAGGCAAGGTCTAGGTGTGATCACATCTTGGAGATGTAGTCACATATTGACAAGCCGGGAGAGTTGGGTGTCAAAGTCTTGAGAAAGTTGGTGGTTCAATCACTTTCTAAGTCACATAGTGAGTTCCTTTGGGACACCTATGAAATAGACTATGACAAGACCCTTAATGATCTTATCTATTGTTAAGATCAACTTCCTGAAACTTTATGGACATTGACAATGGTGACACTGGAAATACAGAAAAAGCATTCTCTTCCCAATGGAAAGGGATCGGCCATAGTCAACTCGGTTGAACAAATGGTAAAGAGAAAAGCTAAGTCTGTGATAGTCCGTGTACCATTATCAAAGGGTCCATATGTTTATATTGCCAAAGTAAGGGTCATTAGTTGCGAAGCTGCCTAATTTACCTAAGGATGTTAAAGTCAATAAGATTGACTCTACTTCAGGTAAAAGTCCACAATCTAACTCTGTTAAGTTTCTATTCTGAGATTCCTGATACATGATGTGACTGGGTCACATGGTAATGTTTTAAGAATCAAAGAAAAGTAAAGGAACTTAAAGAAAGAATATGCTGAATCTGATCGCATAGATGGATTTCTATCGCGTAGTTTGAAATCGGATTCTTGAGCTACTTCTTAGGAGTTATGAGATATTGCTAGGAATAGATAACAACAAGTTTTCATATGGATTGTAAGGATAAGTTTTTCCGCATAGTTTTAAAATAAAAGAAAATTTTGATTTTATTTATTTTAAAATATCCTTACAATGGCATTTGAGGAAAAATTGTTGCTTATATGATTCCATTAATAGCAAGAGTGGAAATATGAAATTGATTCTTTCATTTGTGGTAATGTCTAAATTTACCAAATAAGGAAAGATTCTCATCATCCAAAGTCTCAATTGGACCGGGACTTGGAATCATGCAAGTTGTATAGCATGATGAATGAGAACTTTCAAGTATTGGAAAAATTAAGACTAATTACTTATTCACATGGATGTGTGAGTCAAGTAATG